TGAGCATTATTTCAATTTTCCACCATATTCAAAGAAAATCTATAGATGTTTAGGGCCAGAAACATATAGTGCATGCTTCAACAAAAAAAGTTCTACTACTGTTTTTTTTTGCCTAACTGCCAAACTGTCTGAAATCTAAAAGATTTCACCAGAACCTCTAGTTGAGGTGTTAAAATCAACAATTTATATAAGATAAGATCTACAAAAGATATCTTTTACATATTCCCATATGTTTTAGAATATACCATATATACACAATAGAATGTACATTCTCCAGGCATGTGTATCGTGATGTCACATCATGACCTCAGGCATATGGACCATATTTGACTACTCGATTATTTAAAATGATACTGATGTTCTATGCAATGCAAGTCAAGAATTCAGCAGACATCAGAACATTTCTTACATGTGATAAGAGCTATTAATTTGCACCTGAATTGAAAAATTGGAAAATTATTCAAGCGTTTCAAAATTATGTTTATTTAAGGAAGAACTATTCAGTTCATATAATTTGAGAACTTCAGCGGAGAAATGTCTCCTGTGATGTCAAAATGATGTCATAAACATGCAACAATTGAAATATTTGACAAAAAGTGGGCCATATCACATATAGTTTTTAGACAAAATCGATATGAGCAAAGGCCTTGCAAAAAAGATATTTTATTTTATTTGATAGATTTATTATACCTATTGATTTTAGATTTCAAGGGGTCAAACAAGTGACTTTATTATACCTTCTTTATCTATTTAACTTTTTGGTATTTTCTAAACAGGTATACTTTGCCTTTTCGCGCACGAGAACTCTATCAAATGCAATAAAGACATACATTATCAAATAGTCAGCGTATTAGCAATTGCCAAGATTTTTGGCGTTTTCACATGACATTTTCTTTCTAAATCCATGTTGTAGATCATATGAGTTGTTCTTGTCTGCATGACACAATATAAAGCTGATAACTATGTTCTTTATTTTTGTAACATATGTTGGTATGCAGTTTATTGATTCGATTTTTTTTCTTATTTCAAGACTAGACCCACATGTTGATGGTATTCTCCCCATATTCGTTAATTTTCTGTAGATGAGAAGCAATAAAGGGACTTTTCCAGCTTCTTTAAGATCCGAAGGGAAATGTTTTCCAGGCTAGCAGCTTAATATGCATAGAGACTAACTAGTACCTCTTTAATTCCTTCCATGGTTATGATGATATAATGTGATGTTTTCTTATTTAAACGAAGATCCATAAATAGATTATATTTATGGATCTTGGCTTAAATCCTGATTCATGAAATCTTTATATGTGAATGCTTATTGCAACTGTACATTCAGGATAATATCTCTCTCCCTCTTTGGTGTCTTTATACTTTAGTGGCATAGATTTTATAACCAGATTTCTTCTTATCTTGCAATTCCTGTTCTTTTAATTAGCCTTCATGTATTTATTGCAATCCGTTTTCATCCATCATTTTTCGAGCAGTTTTTATAAGTATATTCCTATCAATATTGTCTTTTAGTAGTGCTGCAATTAAGTTATAATTGTTATCCTCAGAGACATTCTCGTCGTATAGTGTTTAGATGTTGATTGCTTATTATGAAAATCGTCTTTTACGTTGTCCCCACTTGGCATTCGTATACATTTCGGGTTTTCTTGGCTTCTGTTATAACGTAGTGTTTCCATTTTCCTTGTATCTTGGATAATTTATTAGTCCTGACTCTATGTTTTTTGCTCCTATTGAAAGATCTTCAACAAGTAGTTTCAGAAATTCGTAATCAATTATGTTGGTATTTGAGGTGAATTGTTGGTTGAAGGTTTAAGTTGTTTAATTTCTAGTCTCAACCGAATTGATTGAAATCTCCAGTGGGAATGATCAATGCTAATTTTTCAAAAATCTCTCCTTGTGCAAACCAAAGTTGGCATATCAAGAGCACCAATATCTGCGTACATACGTTGTCAGTAATATGAAGATTTATTTGTATAAGCTTCAGAAACAGTAACAAAACACAAATATATCAGAACAAGTGTAAAGCAATGATTGATTTTTTAAGATAACTTGTGTTATAATAAATATGTTACATTGAATTTGTATAATCAGGGATTATGTAGAGTCCCTGATTTTTCAGGGATATTGCATAATCCTTAAAATCATTAGTTAATTATTATATACAATCCTTGAAAATGACCAGTGATTTTACATAATTACTGAAAATTTTAAGAATTATTTTACAAATTCCCTGAAATGATTTTATAGGGATTATCAATAATTCAAAGATCCTTCGCTTGATAAGAATAAATCAAATATAGACAAACATATCATATGTATTACTCCTTTATGGTTTAAGTGGACTGTTTTCATTCCCTGTCCATTTATCAAATCTTATTAAAGTGAACAGATTTCCCGGTGATATTCTATTTAACTGTGTTGAACCACAATGAGTCATAAACAAAAGTTTAAAGTTGAAATTAATGGTACCAGCATAAATGCACAGATCAAATGTGATTTTCTGTAAAACAAAGGTGATGAAAGTGACTGAACATCTATTTTATGTTTTCTTTGCTCCAAAGAACAAAGAATTCAAACTAAGCAAAGAAATGTTACTTAAGGTACAGAAACACAAACAGAACACAAAGTCATGATTAAGGATTGAACAAAATTTTGGATGTGGCCAACATTGGCTGTAACGTTATGATACCCATTCATACATGTTGATCGCGGAAAAGGACACCCCAAAATGGCCATTGTTCATAAAAGGTCTGAAAATGATAATGCCTGGTTACGAACCATGAAATTTTTGTCAGATATTACACACGGAATCAATTTGAGATGTCTGATTGACCTTTTTAGAACCTTCAGATGTTCCTGATGAACACTTTAATTCTCTTCAACGTGCAGTAAAATCGGATTTAATACTTGTATGTCAAAGCTAAGTTTTTGTTTTTTGTTTTTTGTTGTTGCAAAAGAACTCGCACAAACAGCCGAACAAATGTGTAATAGTAGAGGGTCTGGATGTGGTTTACAAACAGAAAAATGGGCAAAAAGTACAAAATAAAGGGCTAGAAAAATAAAGAAAAGACAAAAAAAGATAAAGAATAGAGAATAATGGGATGTTAAAATATGCAGAAAAGAAATTAATGGACAAAAAAGGATAGAGAAAATAGAAAAAAAATAATCTAACAATTAAAGAATAAAGAAATGAAGGATCCCCTATCCAGACCCTCATAGTAGATGTCATCCAAATTTACAATGTAGTTTGTAAAAATAAATAATTTTTGTAAGAATATTGCGCTTACAAATTTAATATTCATGTTTCTAAAGATGTTTAAATATGATTTTATAGAATAAATTATTTAACTCTCAATTCCAGTTATCATGTATAATTTCTTACATTTTTTCTAGTGATTATGCATAATCCCTGAACATTTTAGTAATTATATATAACCACTAAAATAACCTGTGATTATACACAAGGACGTATAACTAACCATCTAATATACGTTCTTGTTATACATAATCGTTTATTACACACATTTACTGTAACATATACATGTCCAAGAAAATAAGTAATCAAAATTATATATCACATGAACATTTATCGAGTTGGATTATGATCTATTGGAAAAGACATATTATCTAAATTTATTAACCAGTTATGAATGAGACTGTCCCTTTATTACTGATCCATCACAGACTAACAGGGCATTAATACAGGGTCATTATCAATAAACAGGTCTATTATGAATAAACAGGGCAATTATGAAAAAAACAGGGCCATTATGAAAAACAGGGCCATTATAAAAAAAAAACAGGGCCATTATAAAAAAAAAAACAGGGCCATTATCAATTATCAGGGCTATAACGGATTTTCAGGTGTTATCAATTCAAATACTTTTCTGGGCATGGGGGAAAGAAACATCAACAAATTGAAAAATCTCAAGAATCATGACTCAGTATCTTATTTGGCCCAGTTGTCAAGTTAACATTACACCATTTATGATGTGTATCAATTTATTTAATTTTGAGTTTTAAAATTCAGAATGAAATCTTGTATTTTTTATGCCATAAATTGCTTTGAAAAGGACACCAATTAAACTATATTTACATTTACATGTTATTCCATCACATCACTTTCAACGGTTCTTTTCAATATTACATTTGGTATAATTATATATATACAATTTCTCCACTCAAAAAAAAATGTTTGCCTTTGTTAGGTATTACGCTTTAACGGTTTGGTTAATAAAAGTATTAAAAAATGGGTGTGTTCAGATTGACCCTGTTATTTGCCCTTGGTCAGTTATAATTATCTCGGGAGCTGTAAAGTCCTTCGGCGTTGCATCGTGCCAATACACGGTTTGTCCGTTATATACATAGTGTCTATGTGAATACCCCAATTTTAAATACTTTAATTTTTTTTTAAAAAGATAAATTCAATTGACAAATTGTATTTACTATAATATCACAATATTATCATTTTTATAAAGATTTTTACTTGTGTCAAATGTGGAATATTTTATGTCGTTATTAAAGGTGTGCTTTTAAATAATGTATAAATTATATATTTTAATGTGTTTTATTGTAAATTTAGTGTCTCGTAAGTCTATATAGGCTGGGTATTGATCTTTGTTTTAACTGTTTTGTGTACTGAACTTGAATATTTCCTTGTAAGATCAATATGTGACACTTTATCTTAGCATTTCAGGTAGACCTTGTACATATAACAATTAAGGCCATTATGAAAACACTCATTAATTAATACTATATTAATTATAAATTGAAATCAGTTAATTGGCACTCCTGTATAGGTCGTGGTCTTTATTTTATTAAATTTGTTAAAATTACGATCCATATTATAATGACAAACTGAAATCGACATATTCAACATTGATTTAAACAAACTGTAACAGTATCAATTGATACAAGATACTACAAGTTACAGCAAATTTCCGTTTCATATTACAATTAAGTACCTACTTCAATATTATCTTCCTACACAAAAATAACATACTGTCACAGATGAAAAATAGTCATGAAAATGCTAGTCAGACATTTGATTGTTCTCACAATAGGTTCGATATGTTTTGGAAACCCAGATGGCACGTATATTGCACAATTGATAGACGACACACAAAGAGCACCGTTAGTAGCTTTGCTAAACACCAGTGATATCAGTCAAAGTATATTGAAATCCTTTGGAAAACAACTAAAGGAAAATGTGGATAATTTAATCAATCCGAAATTTGGCGACATTTACCATCGCATACAGGAATTGGAAGGAAAATGTAAAACACTTGAGACAGACCGTTCGGCCGGAATTCAAAGTAGTAAAGGTATAAAAAGTTTATTCACGTTACTAATTTTTACATCGCGATGACCGTGAGGGCATTCCGATGTATTGTTGCCGACGAGATTTCCACTTACGTAACTTTCGTGTTTGACTGGTAAACGATCTATAAACAGATAAATACGCAGACATTATCGAGTGCAAAATAACATTTCTTATCGCTTGTTATAAATTCATTTCTTCAATGGATACTGATAAAAAATATTTTTGTTTAGAACATAAATTAATATTATGAAAATATTTTGTCGTTAGAAATATATATATAAGTAAAAAATCATTGGTAATATCTATGCACACGTACCGAAAAATTGTGTTAACGCATGCGGAGAATATCTCAAGAACGTTTTTGTGGCAATCTCCCATGCAGAGTTATTGGTCTTTGCGCTCTCTCAGAGCAAGGACCGATAACTCTTCATGGGAATTTGGTTTTGCAGGAAAATATGAATGCCTACTCAAATCCAATCTATTAGAAAAATCGAATTTTTACAGAAGAGTGTCCACCATGCACCTGCACTGCACTATTATTAGAATAGTAAAATAGAATGATATACAAATGGATGAAAATTATATATACATGTAACTGTTATATTAATACAATATATAACAACAAACCAGAATATACTGATTTGTATCACTACAATATGATAGTTATTACGGTGAGGTTGAATTTCCTGTCATTTATTCATCATCCACGCACGAACTTGTCTCAGAAAAAAAATATATCTCTGCACATTAACCTCAGTTTCGGTATAGAGATGTGATTTTTTTCTGAGACAAGTGCTTTTGACCATCCACAAGAACTTGCGGTCATCCGATGTTCAGTACTTCTGTACTTTGTTTTTTCCTGTTTCTATGATACTACTTAAAATTGCAATGATAAACAATAGTATCCTAATACTGACAATATACATATAATTTCTACAGCGAAATATTAAAGTTATTCAACTTCAGAAGATATTTTAGTCCGATTTCTATTGACTTATCGCAAAAATGTTTTAAGACTCCACATTTGCAAACTCCGGTAAATGATATATCAGGATGAACCAATTTTTTAGATGTGAACATTTTAAGATGGTTTTGACGCAAAAATGTAAACAGTTTTCTTTGGTTTACAATTTTTAATATCTTTCAAATGCTTTAAGGCATTGTTTTCTCTTTAATACATTAGTAGTGTAAACTCTTATCCAGTGTCCAATTACTTTGCAGATATTTCAGCATTTGTTTATGTTTAATTAATTGAACATATGTGAACAAACCTTGATTGACAGAAAGCTAATCATCAGACGTTTGTGTAAATACATCATTTTAAAAAGGTCGAAACACTAAATTTAATTTTTGTTTCCATTGTTTTGCTGCAACGAAATTCTGTACATTGTGTTCTGGGACCATGTCAATTTACTTAAATTTCCGTATAGGTATTTTAATAATATTTTAGATATAAGAGATTGTAGCGATCTTCCAAAAGATTCCCGAAGTGGTATCTACAGGATTAAACCAGACCAATTAGACGAATTCGATGTTTATTGTGAGATGACAATTGATCATGGCGGTTGGACTGTATGTATAATAGATATAAACTCGTGTTATTTTTTTTGTGCCGCTGCAAAGTCTGAGTGCAAAGTCCAACAAGTTCATCAGTGGGAATAAGCCTGTCTGTTGTACAGAAGGTGAATTCCTAAACATTTGATTTTCATCTTCCCCTCTAGATCCTAGTATTTAGCAAATCTCTTTCTGTTGCCCAGGTGGACACATGCTATGGAAAAAAACTGATGAACCGAGGCGACTTGATTGCAAGAGAAATAAAAATTTGAGAAGCGTACAATGAATCCCTATTATTGCGTATATAGGGCGACATAAACAATGAAAATCATGCATCATACATGTATATGTAGATCTAATTAAACCTTATGCACATTTTTGTTTTTATTTTCTTCTCTGAGGGTATTTCCACAATATGTACACATTTTAAATATTACTAAATTATTCTTCTTATCATTCGGATTAGCGAAAATAGATATTTTCCTGACTTGAATAAGTCACTGTATGCTTCTTTTTATTAACTACCGTACAAACTTGTTGGAATATGTTTTAACCTATGTTTACCGTGCACAGGTCTATAAATACAAATTACTGCAAATTTCCATATGATGTATAGTTGTGTCGGATGAATATTAACAATGGCATGAAGTTTTCTCCGTCGTCTCCATTTGTTTGTTAACGAGGAAGACAATAATCCGATGTCCTCCACCTTTGTCTAGGAGAATTTAGGATAAGTACACGTATAAACCCTGTATTATTAATGTATCAATGATTAACACAATGACCAAAGTCTATCCTGCTTTGTCTTATATTTCTATAAATGTTTTATCATTATTATTTACCTGGTGAAATAACCTTTGGTCATTTGTGAAACTCACGGATATATCCACAGGTCATTGTCGACTTAGTGAATGACATATGCATTGGCCTGTTGTTTTCTACATTGCGTAACAAGGGGTGACATGGGTTATTGTGTTCAGCGCTATTATACAAAAGGGACTGCATGTGGATTTGTTAAGTTTAATATGTGTATCATATAATTAGGATTTTTAAATTTTATATTATTCAAACTTTTGATGTTAAACCCCCTCCAACTATCCTTACCTTAATCTTAATCATCTCTGTGACAGAAATCGCATAAGGCCTCCATGGCCCTCCAACTAACCCCGCTTCAAAAGGGAAAGTTCATCTTTCTTTCCATTCTTGATATGAGGCAGCGATCAGATATCTGAGTAATCAAACTTTTTTAAAACTATTTTAACACTTTTATGACTGACGATCTCTTGAATATTTGGCAGTTAGAAAGACGAAAGTAGAATTGCCATGTCAAACGAATATATATCTATAACGTAGACATATTTGAGATGATAATGACCTGGGGTTATGGATGACCTGAGGTCGATTCTTACTGGACGTTTTGAGAATGAGCTGATTGACTCATCATAACGTCAATGATGAGGCAATATTGATTCGCATTTATCTCAAACGTGTACCACATTTGAAATGAATAATGCATAGAAGGTTCAGTACTAATATTCTTACTAATGTTCCAGCTGCTAAAAATTAAATATTCTGCAGTTGATTCTGACCTTGCAAAAAATTGGCCATATAAGACTGTTCAGTTTTCAAATATATTTATTTTTTAAGACAATTTACAAAGGTTCTTTAAATGTAATAACAGTGATAATAGGAAAACCTATTACAAAACTCATAGGTCCCCATGCATTAACATCCATCAGAAAGTTAGATAACTTCCACTTTAAAATTACTGGCCCATATCAAATTAAATTGAAAAGTGGCAAGAACATTGCATGCATGGTCCCATATAACTTCTTATTTTTATTTCAACCGAAAAGGCATGCCAGCAGAGAAAATTCCACACTCTGAAAGAGTTCATCTTAAAGTATCTCTTTTTTAAATCATGAAGTTATACTGTATAATGTGATGTAATGAGATCGACATTTATATATATTTACCGATGTCGACAATTTGCACAAGGACAATAAATCATACATTTAATAACAGATGTATAGATCTTTGAATAAACATTACGAATTTCCACAAGGTTATACAGAGAAGAGAGAGTGGTGATCTTGATTTCTATCTGGGTTGGGCAAAATACAAGAAAGGATTTGGTCAACTTAATCGAGAATTTTGGTTGGGTAAGTATGTGTTGGTGAAGAGTACTTATACTTGCTAAGTGTTCATGCAATCATCATGAAATAATCAGTAATAATTATCGTTGCACAGCAAACTAATAGAACATAATTAAAATGCTTGAAAGACGTTCATTTTCATCTCAACTTAAGGCAGTGGTTAATTTTTCTAATTTTACGACTCAGCGTTTTCTTTTGATGTCGTTTATGAACGTATGTTATTCGGCGGCTGCCACTAGTGGTGTTGGAACTTCTGACCCTGTCAGGAACAGATAAAACTGGGTATGCTGTTATTTAAAGGTTTTAAAGGAATTTAAAAATTATAAATTAAAAACATGATGTATCGTGCTGACGGAAATGAGGAGATAAGTATTGCCACATTTATGTTTTATGCCTCCTCCCTTCCGACGGAAAAAGTCATTTTGTATTGTAGTATTTTTTTTATCATATTTATTGTACTACCTTGTCATGAACAATTTGTTTTTAATCTTTTGACATCGACCCTTGATATTTGACATTGCTATCTATTACCAGACGATGCTACTTAACATCTAACCCTTCAATTGACCTTAAACTTTTACCTTTAGTTCAAAATGATAGGTTAATGGTGACATTTACATGTCTGGGAATTATTTTTGTCTTTAACATATATTTTGATATTTGCCATATGGATGCCGAACCGCAAGACGATGTGTGACGTACCATTGAATATGACGTTGAACGTCAAATATTTTATTTTTATGTCCATTCAATAAGCACATATATTCGTGCACGCCATTGAAATATCATTTCAGTTCACCTAAAGACATTGCCACTGGGGGTCGGATCCAATCCCCTCATATCAAAAAGTATATTGAATTTGTCTAAAATTGAAAACAATCACCACCCATTTACCATGCCTTTCTAGTTCAACAACGTGTTTTCCCTTACATAATGAATAATTGTTAAATAACTTGAAAACTGTTCATTACCCCAATACTAATCTACATATACATTTCCATTGTATCCATAATACCCTTGTTCAGACCTTAATAGTTTACCATAAGTTTCGCCCCCATTCATAGCATTAGTTGTTTAAACATATCTTGAAAACTGTTCATATTCCTACCCTAAACCATAAATATTCCTAATTGTCAGGATATAAATTATAGAACACACTATATTTTGTCCCTTGGCGTCACGGCCCGCCTCTCTAGTATTGAATATTTCATACCAACTGTCCTGATCTCTACCCCTAAACCATACATTTTCTGAACTGCTATGGTTAACCCTTTCCTGTGTAGGTTTCGCCCTCTTCATATTCTTAAATTGTAAAGGATATCGAAAACAGTTAAGATCCTTACATATATATATTCATCATATATATTCTTCTTTGCTATTAAGGTTCTTTCCAAAACTAGAATATGTTTGTTGTGACTTTCAGTTAATCGAGGGACTTCATATAGATGGTGGAAGACATCTTAGATTTCCCTCTAAATAAACTTCTTTTTTGTTAGCTCATATGTAACGTCAGAAGAATATACCAGAATGGATAACTAAAGTTTCATTCCAGGAAATGACAAGATTCACACTCTGACATCGCAAGGGAGATATGAATTGAGAATAGACCTTCATGACTTTGACAACAATCAAGCTTATGCTAAATACCAACATTTCTACATAGGCAATGAAACGTCAAAGTACAAAATCAATGTTTACGGATATAGTGGGAGTGCGAGTAGGTATAAGATGCTTTTATGTCACTAACACAATTGAAAAGGATATCTCTAGTTTAAAATCATTTTAACAATTTACCCATTTGTTTAAGACAAAAAAAAAAATACAATGATTGCAAAATATACCAAAGATAACTTTAATATTTGTACATTTTCTTTAGATTTCATATGTAATTCAGGAGAATCGAATAATAAGAAATACTAAAATCCAACCATAAGAATTGATTGATTTGGGTTTTCTTATTTTTTTCATTTGTTTGCCGGTTATATTTCATCAATGTATAAATAGACTTTTGAGAACTGAGGAAATAAGCGTAATTGAAGCTTTATGATTAGTATGCCATAACTGCGAGAACGTTGTGGGGCTCGGTCGGAAAGATTCTACGCCTCTAAGCCCATCATATGTTGGTAATATTTACAAAAACTATAAACAATCATCAATCTTGCATGATTTGGTGCCATATCTCGCAGCAACTGAAAAATTAATGAACTATTATTGTCTATATCAGAAACCGAATTGACACATCACTGTTTCCCAATGACGGCCTATATTTGTTTTAAATGCTTTAATAGTTTTGTAGGCAATTACATGAAATGGTAGCTTATTCTTATAATTCATCAGGATTCAGATATTGTTTCAGTAACATATGGTGACAGGATGAAATGTGACTTTAACATAAATAAACGAAATTCCATATATGTGCAATAACAATAATCAAGCTTATAAAAAATGTTATTGAATCTGTTTAAACGGATTTAATATTTTGCTTTATTTTAGCATAGCTAACTCCACAGATTTCTTATCTGGAATTTATTCCGTGATTAGGAATTGTCATTCGCTGTAACTTTGTTAAAATTAAATTTGTGATAACAACTTCTAAAATTCATCAACACGAATTGAATCCGTGATCGCGAATTAAAGCGATCTGTAAAAATGAATTGAATTTGTTAACTTATCATGAATTACAAAAAACTGTGATGACTAATTCCTCAGTTCCGTAGAAACTAGTCATAACGATTTCAAGATATTCGTCATGATCAAATTTCATTATGCCAACGACCTCGTTGTCAAGAATGTTAAATATTTATTCCGCATCCTTGAGGAGAAAACCTCTCACAAAAAAAAAATAAAAATAGAACGGGTCAGTTTTGAAGGTCCATCACCGTATTTCAAACACAAGGAGACAGTTTTAAATACTCATCATGCCACTAAAATTCATGTTTATTGCTTGAGAGCAACAAAAACACGCCTAATGCCATGGCACCTTAATTCAGAAAGAGAAATTTTACGTCACATGACAAAATTATATCATAAGCAGAGGAACGAACACAAATCTCTCGACTTTACTACAAAACACGTACGACCATACAACATTAATGTACATAACATATCACCCCCACTCCCCCTTTAAAGAATAAAAGAAAAAAAAACTGTGTCAACAAATACTTTGCATAAATATGAGGTAACAATAGTTAACCGATGTTCAACTTGAAGTCGTATATCAATTTGAACATCTCACAAACAAAGTGGAAATACTCTGAGGGAATCGCATGAACTTTAATCCGGGAAGACAGGAACCGTCTGCACATGGATTTGTATAGTGTCATAAATGATTTTTCAAACTTTCCTTTTCGGACAGGTGACAGTCTCGACTACAGTAACAGTGGAAGATTTACAACTCTGGACAGGGATAATGATGAAGCTAAAGATAACTGTGCTCGACGTCATCCTGGTGCATGGTGGTACAAGGATTGCATGCATTCTAATCTCAACGGATATTACTATATCAAGACTCCTGTTGGAAGTTGGAATGGAATAATTTGGTATCATTGGAAAGGAGCTAAACATTCACTAAAGGCAACAGCTATGATGATTCGTAGGCTGTAGATATACTAGTATTCGACGCCTACAAATGATCAGGATGTTCCACATATTTCCGTTGAGTAATGTTATAATAAAGATATTTGAAACATCTTATAAATGGCCTTAAATCATTGGATGCATCAATTATGGTGAATTCTTAGTTAAAATGTATTGTTCAACGAACGGTATAAACTGGATTAGCCGGTGAGCAATTTTTTCAGCATTCTCCAATACGGTATAATATAGTTTTTGACTTTTTCCATCTTTTAATAACGTTATTTAAGAGTTACGAGTCTTTCCTTTACTGGATATTATTGTATGTTCCTTTTAAACTAGAATGCTTTGCTAGACGACTAATCGAGATTAAATAGGGGGTTAACTAGAACTCAAGATAACTTCACTCAAAGTATGTTAGTTTTCCGAAATACTATTAACATACGACGTGCTTCCGTCGCTTTGCAAAGTACAGCGTGTTAGAATTCTAGATATATTTATACTTAGGGCTGATCCAGAGATGTACATATTAATGGATGTTACAATTTACCTCCCGTATAATTCCACATGTATCGTAACCTATGTGAAAACACTATGTCGATTTCGCTGTGTTAAAATTGAAATTGAAAATACCAGAACTAACGGTTTCTCTTATTCTAATGCATCTAATTAATGCATTAGAGCATTACGTCAAGCTGAAGGTTATATCAGAATTGGGTTTCTGGGTTAAATGTTTTGTCGTTTGACTGTTAGACTTGGACTTAACCAACAGCACACCTTGCGGACAAAAGGGGATGAGCAAGGGCCTGAAACAGTAATGACAAACACACTGAAATGGTTTTTAAGATCTACTTTCTTCAAAAGCGCATGTAAAAGTGCATATTCAATTCATAACAATATAATAGTATATAATGGAAATAATAGAAACATATAATCCTTATAATTTTCCAACATAAATGATCAATTAATATTTTGAGTATTGAACTAAACAAACTTTACGTAAATGCATGAGCATATGCATATTAAATGACGAACACGTATGCTTATATTTCTAATAAATAAAATCTTATTTAGCATTCAAATATATGAGCAAGATGCGGACTAAATCTTAAAAGTATGAGCATAATGCGTGACCTAGTATTTGAACCTAAGAGAGCATTAAGCATGTGCTGAACAGCATAAAGTGTATAATACATAAATATCTTAACATTGAACTTGTATAAACATGTTGAATTCTGATAAACATGGTAAGGCAAATATTGCGTTTGTAAAAACTTAAACTATATAATATTCGAAATCGAGACAAACCTAGCATCACGATACTAATCTTGAATATCCAAATATTATGAATATGAAACAGTATCACGTGAAATAGGGAAACTAGCTTTAAAACATACGTGCTTGCTTTTATCAAACATTCGTGACTCGTAATGATGATATAGGGCTAAACTACTAGACTAGTTTACGATAAATAATTACTTAATTACGCATAAAGCGTTTCTTAAATAATCAACATCTTACCCTTGCGGAACTGACCTTAATTCTTTTTAAGTATGAACAAGCGATAAGTTAAAAATAACCATTTCCAACATGCGAGCGTAAAACAAAATTTTATTACGTTTTTAAAAATACCCTTGAGTACAGAAAATTTGTGAAGAATAAACGAACCTTTTTTTTTTAACTTTTTTGAACACTTGTTGAGAAACAACAATTTGATCTGAAATTCTTTACGTTCAGAACTCATATATATGTAACTTCAACTTTACTTAATAAAAGGGGAACGAAACTTTATGAAGTTTTCACGATTCAGTTGAATAAAATAATGAAAGAAACACTATTAAAGAAAAATGATAAAACGAAGTATATTAATTTTGAATAAATAAAATACTTGACTCACCTGAAACAGTAATGACAAACACAGTGAAATGGTTTTTAAGATCTTCTTTCTTCAAAAGCGCATGTAAAAGTGCCACTTTTGAGACCGAAATTCACTTGTTCAATTTCGCGTTACTGTTTCAGATTGGACCAATCAGATTCGAACACCCAAGCCACCTTAGTTACCCTGATATTTTGGGGTAAAAAGGGGCGTGGAAAGATCTTTGCTGGACAGAACAAAGAACCCTAATTGACCAGGTTACCTAGACATACATGTATGTTGTTTACACAACAACTTGTTTGTGTTTAAAGGACAATAGACTTAGTAAAAAAACATGTCTAATTGTGTCCACTTAGCTTGTCGCTAAACATCTTATATTGATAAAAATAATGCTAAACAAAAAGAAAATCTAAAGTGACAAATGCCAAAATAAATATCTGCTAAAAATGAAATCCTTATTCTAAATCTATCGGGAATATAAAAATGATTTCCTTCAACAATAATGAACGAATATAAATCAAAAATACTTAAATCACAATTGCAGCTTCGAAATAGACTTTAAATAAAAAAAAATGAATTAAACTTATTCTCTTTAACTGAAAACTAAATTTTCACAAAAATATTAAATGAGCTATAAAATGACTCTATGACAGTTATACTGTTACGTGTATGCTTCAAATAGCAAAAATATTGCATTAAAAAGGAGTTTTTTCTTCGGTGTTGTTTATTTCTATTCTATTCCATTATTAGCACATTCATAGTGTCAAGCAAGTCAAGTTGGCGGCTCACTCCTTAGTTACGACATGTCTATTGAAGATATGAACGTAATTGTAGCCAACAACAATTGTTTTTAAGTTAAGATCTATCCAATCAAACTTGAGATAAAGGATACAACATAAACAGTGAAGTCTGCCTCATATCTTGACTTACATTTAGAAATTGACAATGGATGTCGTTTGAGAACAACACTTTACGATAAAAGAGAGATGATATCAGCTTTCCAATTGTGAATTTTCTAGTTCTTTGTAGCAAAATTCCAGCTGTAACTGCATATGGAGTATATAACTCCCAGTTGATCTGATATTCCTGAGCATGCCTTTCGCATCATGATTTCTGTGATAGATGGTTGCTGCTTACAAGGAAGCTATTGAACCAAGATTTCCAAGTGGTGAAGTTGAAATCATCCCTTCGAAAATTTAAAAACGCCAACACGAGTTGGTTTACCGTTATGGAATATATGTTTCATAGATGATGATGGATATGTTCCAATGGTTGTAACCACAATCCCGCCCTATTTCTCCCGAATGTGACCTACCTAATAAGACTTATCACCGGGTGTGTACTTACTTGAGCAACTCGACGGGCACCAGGTTTGACCTTACTTGATCAACACGACGTTTGCCACATGTTGAGCAGGATCTGCTTACCCCTCCGGAGCACCCGAGATCATCCCAGTTTTTGGTGGGGTTCATGTTGCTCAGTCTTTTGTTTTCTGTGTAGTGTTTTATGTGCTGTTGTTTGTCTTTACGTCGTTTTTCGTTTGCCATGGCATTTTCAGTTTTTTTCGTCTTCTGAGTTTGAATGTCCCTTTGTTATCTTGCGCACTCTTTTACACATATTATTTTAAAGGTTATTGATGATAGAATTCATGCAAGTCATAGATTTATTGGAAATTTTAAGCTTTATCTTACAGGGGTAAAAATAGAACAGCCGCACACACTCCTTGTACTTATCATCGTTTCAGTCTTTTGAATAACCGTATTTGTCCTATAAGAATCGAAATAATTCATGCAAGACACTTATTTTGTATCATTTTTACATGGCCTGGGCCGTTATACCGTGTTATATTCGTTGATTTTATCCATCGCTTACGCTAACGCTTGGGATAAAATTCGAATATAAAGGCCCAGGCCATGTGAAAATTTCAAACAAATCTATAGCTTATTATTATTACTTAATTAATACATTGACATGATACAGTATGTACATCTTACGATTCGGTTTTGCGGGTCTCTAAATGTCATTTAATGTACAAGAAAATGAATAATAATTTAGGTGTCCGTGACTTTTGGGATTGATTTAAATTGAGTGCATTGGTTTGAAATTGTTGAAGTAACTTTAGATCAAACACAATATCTTGCGAAACTTAGAATTATGGAAAACTATTCAACCGTCTATTTCTTTTGTATTTGCTGTTTAGATACTCTTAGGTTTCTTATGATAATCATTTTTCGAATATTTGATTATGATTTCCTGAATCTAGATATAAAATTGAATTGAGACGAAAATGATCATAATTAGCTATAAGATGTATAACACTGATATGTTCATGTTGGCTTGATGATCGTGGAACTTCAAAACTGAACATGTGTTACTATGTTGGTTCAGTAGCTTCGATATGAATATTGAAAGAAGATACCAAGGGAGTCCACTTAAAATTCCAAATAAGACAGACAACACCACGGTCAAAAATACGACGAAAATAGAAACAATAATTAGATAGAATAACACATCACAAAAGATTAAGCAACACGAACCCATAAGAAGGGGTTAGAATAGGTCCTCCGGAAAGGCGAATAGTTCCTGCTTCACATGTGGCACCCGTCGAATTGCTCATGCTAGTGAACATTAAATAAAAAGTCGCATTTGGGAATGTCAAAGTCGATGAGAACACGACTGAAATGTGATAACGACAAGTGGAACATTTTCGTGGTCATTGTCAATAACAATCAACCAAATATTGATGGCGACCGTAATACTTTCAAAGGGATGACTTCAACTTTATTTCAGATTCTTCAATTCATGAATAATACAATTCTGGTTGTGAATTTTTATCGAAATATAAAATATAAAATACCCGTATACATGTGTCCTTGTCATTAAGGATGTTTGCTTGTCATGTTTTGGAGTTTTTTGTCAGATTTTCGGAATCCTCAGGTTTTATCCATTTGAATGCCTTCAAAATGTCTGCCCATTGACCCCCATTCTTCTTTTTATAAATCTTTTACATGTATAATGATAAGCCATCTGTAAAAGTCTCATAAAATTTTAATTATTTTTTAATATTTTTTGAGAACTTAAACGTGTCAATGATAAAGCTATGAAAAGTCAAGAGAGAATATTTTCCCGCCAAAGTTTCAATGGCTAATATCTCGAAAACAAGCACATTGACCTATATATTTTTTTGGCTGTTTTGATTTCTTTATTATTTCCCTATCAATATAAACTAGTGTTTTGAAAAGTT